CAAATGAGTCTGTAATCAAGAAACACAGCGGTAATTTGGAATTCGAAACGGGTCTATTCTAGAAAGGTCTATTGTTAATTGTTTTTTTTGTTTTTGTTTTTTTTTCTTCTAGTCCCTGTTTCGTATTTAACATTATTATATTTGTATAGGAGTTTTCCAAAGAGGTAAACTCCAAAAGGGGTAAAGAAAGACCCAAAATGTTTACTAACCCTTTCAGTATCTGCTAGATTGATATAAAATGGCGGATCCTGCATCCTTGTTCGCACTTCTTTCTTAAACGATTTCCATCTTTCAGTAGTTGGTTCGCGTACGTGGATACTCAAAATACCTCGAAAAGTCAATAGAGCATCGATGTCTCGGCCGTCGTTCCCCATCCACGTGTTGTTGCCAATAGCAGCCGAGGGAAGTAGATTGACGGTCAGAAACGCATAATCACCGTTTAACATACCAAGATCGAGGGCATGAAGCATTAGGGCACGTATATCACCACCATAGCACAACATGATTAGAACTATGGATAAATAGAAATGATATAAATATATGAATTCAAGATGGACTCGTGATAAAAATTCAAAGCTAGCTGTTCTCTTAGAGCAAACGGACTAACTCTTGGTATATGTGGCGATAGGAGTTCAAGAGGAAAATGATAGACTTACGATGATAGACTTGCGCAAAGTACGATTTAAACTGTGAAAAAATGGCAACTTGAAGTGAAGTTCGCCTATCGGAATGGTCTACGATATCAATAGCCCATGAGGTCGAATGCCGACTGGGCTATTGCGTTAAACACCACGGGGCCCTGGCGAAATATGTCTAATTGTTTTAGTATAGACCGAATGGATAAATGGATAAAAACAATTTTGAAATTGGTCTAATTCATTTATTCTTATTCTTTTTTTTTTTTTTTTTTTTCGTTGTTTTGGATCTTAAAACTGGCACTTGCGCTGCTAGTGGTCTATTACTATAGAACGCTATTAGCTCCGCCAATCAGCTAGCGCAGGAATGGAGATATACCATTAGTAAATTTGTATATATACTAATTAGAGCTAACATACTATTAGTGAATGACTAAATTTAAATGAACGATCCAAAATTACTCGCTATACAATGACCTTTGTCGTGTAAACCTACCAAAATTAGCAGTTTTTGAGTTAAATGAATGATTGATTGAAAGAAAAAAAGGAGGGAATAAATAAAAGGAAAAACGGACATAGGGGGCGTGAGTAAGAGAATGCATCAGTCGGTGAGCCGCAAATCTTGGTGAGAAAATTACCCTAAGGAACGGAGCTTTAGATAATTGAGGGGTGGGGTTGCGTAAATCCTCAAAAAATATCAAGCAAGCACTTAAACCTAGGAAAAATTACCTCTCCTTTCAGTAAAGAAATTTCGAGCAAACACCATAAAAAATGCGTGTAGTGGTTGTTACAAAGCAAATATATCGTGCCTCAGGAATTTCCCTTCGATCATGTAGCGGTCCATCCCTAATTAAAAACGACACGATTGCCTATCTAAGAAATTAACGGTCTTTAAAAACGAGTCTCAAATTAACTCTATATTACAGGCTTTCGAAGTAGAAGTTAATTGCCRTTTTATCCGAAAATTTAATGATAAGAATGGAGTCAGTTATAGCGGTTTCAAGATTACCTTCTAAATAACTTTTCTATGCCTATTCATTAGCATGATTATTTGTTATATTTTTTTCTATTTATCTCTAGTTATAGGTATATTATTTTTTGGGATTAGCTTGTTACATATTATAGATATTATGCCCTTAATGCCTAAATAGTGTTTCAGTGTATTTTACCATTACATTATTAGTTTTTTAGATTTTATCCCATTATGGTGATACTCCAGTTTTCTATACACTTTATTTATATATATTCTTATTTATTAGTTATGATATTTAAAAAAATAGAGTGCTTACACTATATCCATGAAATAAAATCTAAATAGTTACTATCTAACAGTTTTTATTTAGTGACTATCACTCAACTGGAACAGCTTTAGTAACAATACACAAGGGAGACCAAATACTCAAGACAATAGAAAGATAATACTTTGTGTATTGTTACTAAAGCTGTTCCAGTTGAGTGATAGTGACTAATAGTCGCTAAATAAAAACTGTTATATAGTACCTATTTTGATTTTATTTCATGGACATAYTGTAAGCACTCTAGTCTAGTTTTTCATCATTTGTAAATATTAGCGTAATTCAACCCCGGGGGTTGCAAACCTGTTGCAATGCTTGTATCAATAAAGTATCTAACTTAATGMACATATTTGACCATGTTCATATGTAAAAAATGCGCAATATAAGTATTACATTATAAGTACAACTATTAATACCTTTACACCTCTAAACTGGAATGATCAATGGATGAAAATGGAAAATTGATAGTGTTGTCGATATGACAACGAAGTCGTCTTGTTTGATTAGTTTTCATATTAAATTGTCTTTCGAAGGTCACTTTTATTAAAATGAAAAATATGATAAAAATCTAAAATCTAGTTTCCGAAAGAAATGTACACAAACACAAAAAGAGTTTTATTCTGCATGAATGAAGTGAAAATATAAGAATATAGGAATAAGAAGACTATGGCCYCGTCCACAAGTATCCGGAAATTTTTGTATCCGCAAATATTTTTTTACGGATACGGGTTGCGTCCACACGTGTTCGCAAATTTTTGTGTCCGTATCCGCAAATTTTACGAAAACGGATACGTGTGGACGGTGAAAACGATTCGAATACGCTGCGTGTGGACGCAAACWTTTTCGTATCCGCAAAAAATAATTTGCGGATACAAAAATTTGCGGATACGTGTGGACGGGGCCTATGTTATGCAATAAGCTCTTGGACAAACTAAGTGGCCGATATTCATTTTTTTTCTTTTTTGCAAGGGAAATTCACTGTAAATACAAAATTACTTACTTCTAGCATTTTGTTTGGCGATTTCCARTAGGCTAAGGTATTCATCGCGGTCTGTAACCAACTGACTTCCAGGGTTCAGTGTCTGTAGATATCGTATATTAATGTCCTCGGTCTCAAGGAATGYTTTTCTCATGTTCGTCATGGCGAGTTGCCATATACTCTCAGTTGAAGCAATTATCCCGATATCATTCCATTTAAAGTACCGAAAAATCGATAAGAATAAGTCGCCCATTTTCGAGAAGGACTGTACAGTTCTAACGAATGTTGGGTAGACACTTTTTTCGGAAAGTGCACTCGACTCGCAGCCCCAAGAGACGATAGGAAGGTTCCACGCTGCGGCGAGGAGGCTAGCAGGTTCACATATAATATCACACCCATCTCCTATGATAGCATCAACATTAGCAAGCTTGAATTCGACGGCTTGGTTTAGACCTTCGGCTGCTAAACACTGGGAGTCGTTCCATAGGAAAGTCATATTGTATCCTGGTAGGAGTGTTGGGTCATCGTTGATACGCTCGACAGCAATAGTAATAGCCGAAGCAGATGTTTTACCTATTGGCCAGTATCCTGTCATGGGAAGAAGAACGCCTATCTTCACGGTATTTTCTTCTGTTTCAGTTTGGCTGCCATTTACTAAACAAGGAATTGAGAAAACCACGAAAAAGACCAAAAGGATATATAGAGCTTTCATTTTTTAGACTCGCCAAACGATCCTTTAGCGACTTTGTCTTTTCAACCTAAACTATCAATGTGCACGAAAAGCAAAATTTGGAGTTGGAAAGAGTTTACGAATATGAAGTACAAACTAAGAGCTAGCTTTCGATGAATTCATAATTCTCAAGCCATGAACACAAAAAATCTTTAACTTTTCTGTTCTCGATTATTAACGAGAAAAAAAAGAAATTGGCTTACTCCCAACTCCGAAATTAAAAACTCTTAGGTTAGCCGTATGACGTCATTGTTACTTGGGCAAAATGTAGTGCCAAATAAGGAACACAAGGAATGATTGGTTAAAAAGATCCTCTGTGCCGTTTTATGATTTCATCAATAATTTTAAGGCCTCCTCATCAGGTCATTAAGGTTATTAAGGTAATTATTAATCGACTCAATGCATGAGACCTAAAATTCGCTAAAATCAAAGAAAATTCAGGCGGAAAGATTTATCTTCATATAATTACATACTCTGAATAATTGATCTTAATATTTCTTTATACAGTTTTGAGTTACAACGCGCGGCCTAATTGGCTGGCAGCCGGTTAACGTGTTTATATCAGAAGACAGAGACACGCCAAAATATTTTATAAAAGCAATATTAAACTACTGCTTATCTGTATTACTACACTTTGGGAGCTGTAGAGCACTTGAGAAGCAAGAGCTCGGCTACGCCTCGTGTTCCTAAGCTTGCTTCTCTCTTGCTCTGCATCTGCAGCGCGTTGGTATGGCAGTTTATGATATAGTTAGGATAGTACAAGCCCTATGATTGGTCGAAAGCTGTGCACGGAGCACAGTGCTGACAACATTAGCGCACGCGAAGTGCTGCTAGATCCTGCAACCGTCTTTCTTTTTGCGTAAATAAATTCAATACCGAAAAATAATATTAATATATAATAAAACCAATAAATCAGCCTTTACCGTGCCCATTCAGTGATAAAAAACTACGGCTCGTCCTTCTCCTTCTCCTTCTCCTTCTCCTAACACTTCTTTAATGCTTACGTCACTTCCTTCTTTATTACTGAACGGAGCACGGAAAAAGCTGTTTTATTTGTTAAATAAGTGCATTATTTTTCGCTAGTGATCTCGCAAAGCCGTTCCGCAGAGTACCTTTACTTGCATGAAATTTAAACTTTTAGCATTTGAATGCCCTGCCCAGCAAATAGAACAGATTATCAGTGGTGGATCCAGGGGGGGTTCCACGGAACCCCCCTTGAAGGTTTGATCTATTAGGTAATAGAAATATGTCTTATATAAATTTTAATAAAAAATATTAGTAGTTTTGCGTTGGGTCGTGTTATTATAGCTTGGTCGGTTACTAGATAGTAAATTATGTGATTAGTGCCAATYTTTTGTCAGACATCGACTAAACAAAAGAGAATCATTTAAGAAACCGAACCCCACTGATTATAATATAACTGTTAATTTGTTCATCGTATTCTTTCGAACCATTTGAATTGCTTCCTCGCTTACATTCGAACAGCCTTTCAAAATTATTTTTCTTAATTTTCCATTACGAAAATTTTGAAACAGTACCATATCACTAATGCCTGTACAACCACTTAAATCAATGGTTTCCAAGCAAGAAAACATTGTTATTAAAGAAGTTAGATCCTTATCTTCAATACGGTTACAGTTCGATAAACCAAGGTATTGCAGAGAGTTTCCCATAACTGATGATAAAGTTCTCAGCGTTTGTCCAGAAATCTCAAAGCAGCTTTTCAATTCAATAGACCAAAGTTTCGGGTGATTTTCACGAAACATGTTGTTTTGTAGAGCAGATTTAGTGAGATCTAGTTTCTTTAGATTTGGTAGCTTGTAGAGGTATAGTAAAGCCAATCGTAGAACACGTTCATCTAAACTGAAACTTAAGTTCAGGTAAATTAATGAGGAATATGTGTCTAGCCAGTGTATAGTCTGGGTTATGATGGCGTTGCTTCTCAACGAGCCACAAAGGTTCAACTCTTTTAGGGTAGAATTCTGTTTTAACGTCGCAAAACCTTTAAAGGAAAAAAATGTTCAGATATATTCCTGTTAGATTTTGAGAGGTGCGAAAATAACGTTTCGATTTCCATCTATCCATCCGTCCCTCCGTCCCTCCGTCCCTCCGTCCCTCCGTCCCTCCGTCCCTCCGTCCCTCCGTCCCTCCGTCCCTCCGTCCCTCCGTCCATCCGTCCCTTTCTTCATCTTTCCCTCACACTGTTTTGCTGACCTCCTCTTATTCGATTCCGTCTTTATCTCCCTTTTTCATCCCGTCATTCTTCCATCTCTTCCTTCATTTTTCTCTTCCTTCCTTAACATCGTAACTTTTTCTTTCCTTTCCTCTTTTCTACCTCTTCTTATTCTTCTACCGGCATCTCAACCCTCACAATCTCAACTATCTCAACCCGTGCATTCATTCATTCCATTTCTATTTCTCTTTTTTTCTTCTTTTCCTTTGCTCTTTATATCTTTTTTTAGAGTCTTCAACAACCATATCGAAGACAGTTTGGGTTCAGGGTTTTTGCTTGTTTTGTTTTGTTTTGTTTTTTGTTTTGTTTTGTTTTTGTTTTTGTTTTTTGGTTTTAAGGTTGTTGGGTTTTTGCTTGTTGCATATTGTATGCCAAGCCCAGATTGCACTATCGGTAAAAGGTCACAACAATATTACCGCGATAACAAAACCTACACCGAGAACTTGGGTGAGAGAGCATCTAGAACCCAGGGTACAACAACATGGAATTTTACCAAGCTTTGTCTGCACATTCATCTGGTACATATATCTTTTCTGTGCTTTCATTATTTACTTATGAATATAATAAATTTCAAGCTTGAAAAATATGCAACATTCAACAAAACCTTTACCAACGTTTGTGAAATAGCTGTATTCTTGTGGTGCATGATGCGTCATAGATGCCATGTTGGTTGACAAGGGCGGATCCAGGGGGGGGGG